GAAGGAGAGAGAGAGAAGAGTAGGAGTAGAGTAGAGTAGAGAATATGGAGTAAGATGATGAGAGGAGAAGAGAGTAGTGATAGTAGTTTGTATGATATGTAGGAATATGAATGTAGTATGAGTAGAGGATGGATGATAGAGAGTAATGAAGAGAGAGAGAGAGAGAGAAGAGATGAGAGATGTAGAGAGTAAGAGAAGATCACGAGAGACGAGAGATATGGTGATAGAGAGAGATAGTAGAGAGTAGGAGTAGTATGATAGTATATGATATATGAGGAGAGAGAGTGAGTGGATAAAAGTAAATGAAGCTGATAATGACGAAGAGGATATAAAAGTAAGCGATGGATGAGAAACGCCGATCGAAAGAAGTAGAGATTAATAAGAAAGTATGATAGTGATAGAGAGAATAAAAGGGAGAATAGCGAGAGAAAAGATGAAGAGAAAGGGAGAGGAGGGAGGGAGGGATTGCCGGCTGATCAAGATATTTCTTTCAAGTGATCCAATAAGCGGAGTCGGAGCTCACTTGGCCTCCCTCGTAATTGCATCACCGCGAGAACGAATCTTTGGAACGCCTTAAAACGAGGGCGATTGTCGCACCTTTGCTCCAGCGGGACGCCCACTCACGCCCGCGGGGGTCTTCTCGTTCTTCTTATTATTAGCATTCTTTTCTATTATCTCTCTGTACTTGTCTATGTCTGTAACTGTCTGTCTGTGCTGTCTGTCTGTCTGTCTGTCTATCAATTCTCTCTCTTTCATTCTCTAACTTTATTACTCTCTCTTCTATTTCTCTACGTCTCTCGTCTAACTCTATCATTTACTTCTTCATTCTATACTTGTAATTTCTTATCTCTTTTGTATATATTTATGGTTCTATATTATTCGCCTTGTAACCTGTCTTCGTCTTATCATTCTTGCTTCTCTCTCCTCATCCTTACTCTACTCTCTATCCTCGTCCTCTCCTCTCTTGTGTGTGTTAGGGTTAGTGTGTGTGTTGCCTTTCTGTCTGCCTCTCTGTTCTGTCTCTGTTCTCTTAGTCTTTACTTTTAACTCTTCATTTTCCCTCTTCTCTCTCTCTCTCTCTCTCATCTCTCTATCTGTCTCTCTTGAACTTTCAATCTCTTCTCCTCTATTCTCTCTTCCTCTTCTCTCTCTCTCTCTCCTCTCAATTCTCTCTTCTCTCTTTGCATGTTTATTTCGCGTTTGGCTTGTTTGTTGATTGGTTGTTTTTTATGTTTTAAATTAGATCTTTCTTCTTCCTGACATGCCTGATTATTGTTCGTTCTTTTTCTTTTTATTATCATTTATTTTATTTCTGTCTCTTCATCCATCCTCCGAAAAGCTACAGGAAGTATTTATTTATAGAAAAAGTTTTTTCTAAGCCTATAAGAATTCTATATATAAACTGTCTCTTTTTCTCATCTATCTATCTCCTTCATTAGATCCAATTTTTACTCCCAACTTCTTTTCCTTCCTTTCCTAGCATCACTACCCTACATCCTCCGCCTTCCAGTCTCTTTCTGCTCCCCTCCTTCCTCTTTACATTCCCCCACCCTGTCTCATTCCTCTATATCTCTGTCACGATGCTGTTATGCTGTCATGGCTCTACCTGAAATTCTAGCTATCTTTATTGGAAAATTCGGCTATCGGTCGGCCAAGGACGTAGAGGAAGCGAGGGGGGCGAGAGGGAGCGCAGCGGGAGCGTGGGAGAACGAGGTGAGACGGGAGTCAAGGAGGACGGTGAGGGGTAGGTAGGGGAGACTGGGGAGTACGAGGGATGTCGAGGGGGAGGCAGGAGTACTAGTGGGCGAGGGAGGAACGAGGGGGGGGAAATGGAGGGGATGACGATGGGAGTCGGTGATGACTGGTGGGAGCGGTGGGAGACAGGTGGAGACGAGATGAAGGGAAAACAATGAAGGAGATGGGAGAGAGTGGGAAGGGGAAAGGGTGGAAGGAGTAAGGAGAAAGAAGGAGTGAAGAGAGAGAGAGAGAGAGAGGAAGAAGAGAGAGAGAGAGAGAGAGAGAGAGAGAGAGTAGAGATGAGATGAGAGAGAGATGAGAGAAGATGAGAGAGAGAGAGAGAGACAAAGACAGAGTATTTTTTTTTTTTTTAAGCAGGAAGACAAAGAGATATTAGAAAGCCATAAGAGAGAGATGAAGAGAGAGTCGAGAGTGAGAGAGAGAGAGAGAGAAAGCAATATTCAACGTGCAAAAAGGGTATGTGGCGCTTGTCTTCAGAATGGCTGTAAACTTCGTAATAATCCGACTGAGGCTGGATTATTCGAGAAGCTTTGTTGATATTACGTCGCTGCCTCCTCTCTCCTTCTCCGTGTTCTTATCCTCCTTTCTCTCTCCTTCTCCGTCTTCCTATCCTCCTTTCTCCTTTCTCTCTCTCTTCTCGTCTTCCTCTTTCTCTCTCCTTCTCCGTCTTCCTATCCTCCTTTCTCTTCTCTTCTCCGTCTCCTATCCTCCTTTCTCTTTCCTTATCGTCTTTCCTATCCTCGTCTTTTCTCTCCTCTATGTCTTCTCCTCTTCTCTTTCTGCGTCTTTAATCCTCCTTCTCTCTTTATGTCTTCTTCTCTTCTTCTCTCTTTCTATGTCTTCTTCTCCTCTCTCTCTTTCTTCCGTCCTTCTCTCTCCTCTTGTTTTTCTTCTTTGTTTTGTTTTATTCTTTTTTTTTATATGTTTTTTTTTTCTCTCTCTCCTTCTATTTATACGTCTCCCTTCTCTCCTCTCTCCTTTTCTTTCGTCTTCTTCTCCTCTCCTTTGCATCTTTTTCTCCTCTGTTCCTTTTACTTTCTTCTTCTAAATCTTTTTCCTTTATTTAAATCTTCCTCTTCTTTGTTTATACTTTTTCCTTTTTTCCCTGTTTTTCTTCTTTACTCTTTCTTCCTTACTTGTCGTTCTCCTCAGAAAAATAGAAGCGAGAAGGGAGAACGCCTCAAACTCCTCTCAACCACCACCTTCCCCACAAGCCCCCACCACCCACCTCACCTTCCCACCTCCACCACACCACCTCTTACCCCACTATTCCCAACCTCCATTATCACAGCCACATTCCACACCCAACCTCCACCTTTCTCCAACCCCATCCTTCCCCCCTATCCCCCACTTCCCAACCTCTCCTATCCATCTCGCCCGCGCCGTGCTACTAGCCGAGGAATTCAATTATGGCGCCCTTAATACGGTATTATAAAGGCGGTCCATTTTGCCGAAGTCCCGCGGGAAATTTGCCGAGTAAAATGGCTTGATAAAATGATTAGGTATAGCAAAACCAGAGAGGAATCCGGCCGCCTGGTTTGAGATTCTTGGGAGGAAGAATGTCTCTGAATTAGCAGACTGTGGCTTCAGTATTGCACAGGTTAGGAAGGAGGAGGAGGAGAAGGAGGAGAAGAGGAGAGGAATAAGAGGGTAGAGTAGTGAGGTGGAGAGGAGAGCGGTGTGAGGGAGGGGGAGGAGGATAGAGGAAAAAAGAGAAGTGAGAATAGCAGAAGGATTCGGTAGGGAAGAATGAAGAAGTAGAAAGAGAAGGGAGTGAGGAAGGAAGATGTAAGGAGGAAGTAGAAGAAGAATGGAGGAGGATGGATGGAGGAGATAAAGAGTATCGAAAGAGGGTTGTATGATGAGAGAGATGCAGAGAGAGAATGAGTGAGGTAAAAATTTTAACGATAAAAAAAATACAACCAACAACAGCCAGCGAGAACAATAACAAAACAATAAATAATAATGATAACAAAAGAATACTCAGTAGCGTAGTATATGCCGTACAGAAAGTTTTTGTGTTTAACGCAGATAAGAACTATAAAATGAAAGTTAGGAGATAATCTTGACTTGCAATTGCTAATTTGTCTTACCAAGTAGGACGTCTAACTTTTCCAGGTAAAACAAAGAAAATATAGAATTAATTCGATACGATGGGATTGATTGAATGATCACCAAGAACAATTCTACTTCCGCCGTGATCAAGCTACTGTATATAGCAATATAGTTAATAGTTAAATATTTACAGTAACAATCATAGCAATACATCTATGCCCGGCACTCGCGCCTACACTTAATCCCCACACATACATCACACTCCACATTCGATCTATGATAAACCATGCAATGATGATAATGAATGATGCGTGATATAAGCATCGACGATAATTCTATTATTTTTTAATTAGATGGTGATCGAGAATATGATCATTATCTATACCCGCTCATCATCCATCCACACACACACACTACACCGCATCACTACATAATAATAACAACATAATCACACGCACCACCACACGCCGACTCCCATGCACATGATATATCAACTAATAAATAATAAGCAGTAGTAGTCTCCGTAGAACGCTCACGTAATGATAATTGATCGCACCAAACACTCCACATAACACACTCTCACTCCTAATAAATAACTGCAACAATATACAATAAAAACAAACAAATACATGATAATAAAATGACGATAGTAATGATACTAATAATAATAATCAACCTGTACATTACACTGCACACACTCACACAATCACCCTCCACCGCACTCACATCACACACAACTCACTCACACCACACATCACTCACACTCACACACACACTCACCACTCACCACACATACACACATCATAATAATCATATAATCAATAACATCCCACTCACACACCACTCACTATAATAATGTGACTCATCATATAATTTATTATTTCATCATCTATCATATCATCATCATCATCATCATATCATCATCATCATCATCATCATCATCTATCATCATCATCATCATCATCATCATCATCATCATCATCATCATCATCATCATCATCATCATCATAATAATATAATAATAATAATAATAATAATAATAATCTCTACTTACTGGTCATCGTAGACAAAGCCAGCGTGAAGCGTGTTGAGGTACAGCAAGACCGCCAACAGGACCGGTACACCATAGACCTATTGTGTTTCGGGGTGTCACACGAGCCTACTACGTCACCGCGGGGTCCGCCGAGAAGATGACGTCACGGCCGCTGATGACGTCGGCGAGGCGGAATTGGCTTGGTAGAACGCCTTCCCTCGACACACGGTTCGAGTGGATGAGAAGCGGATTGTTTGCCTGTGATGGTATTCGCCGCTGGCCGGACAATTGTTGCTCGTCACTCGTTTCACGGTTTTCATCTTCCGTGAACTTTATTTACGACACGATTCACACAAATAAGAGAGATCGGGAATGGATTGATAAAGATCTCGCTTTTCGATTTCTCTCTCTCTCTTTTTTCTCTCTCTCTTTATTTTTATTTATTTTTTCTGATCTATTTTTTTTCTCTTTCTCTCTTTTCTTTTTTTCTAAACTATGAGATTTTATTTTTTTTCTATCTCTCTCTTTTTATTCTATGCTATTTCGTAACCCTCCTTTTTATCAACTTTTCACATGTGTTACGAATCCGATTTCCTAACCCGGCCATTGCACCGTCGAAGGCCCGTGTTCTTGGAAGAAATTTCTCCGATTTTTCTTTCCTTTCCTTTCTCTTTTTCTTCTTCTTCTCTTTCTCTTTTCCTCTTCTTCTTCTTCTTCTCCTTCTACTTTCCTCTTCTTTATCTCGAGGCTTCCTGATGCAGCATCCAACATCCAAACTCCCTTCTCGGTGTCCCTCTCGTCTCCGTGTTTCTCGACACTACCACCTGGAAGGAGAAGAAAAGGTGGATGATATAAGGACGATAAGATAAAGGCGAAAGTAATAAAGATGTTAAAAGTAATGGTGATAATCGTGATGAAGATAATGATTATGATGATGATGAAACATGATGATTTAGCATCCAAATTATGATAATAATGATAAAAATAATGATAATGATAATAATAATAATAATAATAATAGTAAAATAAATGATATAACAATAAATGATAATAACAACAAAATATAATAATAATAATAATGATAATAAGAACAATAATGATTATAACAATGTTAGCAACCATCATAATAGTATTAGTATTATCATTAGTAGTTATCATCATCAGTAATCACTTAGCAATAATAATAATAGTAAAAAAAAAAAAAAAACAATACAGAAAGAGAATTAATAACACAGATAACACACACACACACCCATAAACCGCAACACAAACGCACAGGAACAATAAAGATGGATGTCAAGAGAAGGGAAAATTATGGGAATGGCACAAAAAAAAAGATGATTAAAAGTGAATGAGTTAATGAAGCTAATGCTGATGAGATGCAATTAGGGTAATTCGGTAATAGCGGCATATTGACGATTATAGAGTAATCATAACTTTTGTGAAATTACAGCCACGGAGATGATCATGGAAGGAAATAATTAGGAGTGATTTGACAACTATGACGTCATAAAGAGAAAAGATGAGAGGGGGGGGAGGGGGGGGGGAGGTTGGGAGAGGTGATGGGTGGATAGGAAGAGAAGAGGAGGAGGGAGGGAAGGGGGAGAGGGAATATGATGATGGATAGGCATAAAGAGAAAAGGTGAGGGGGAGAGGAGGGGAGAGGATGGAAGAGGTGGGGGGGGGCGGTTGGGAAAGGATGGATGGATAGAGATTGGATGGAGAAGGGAGAGAGAGAGAAGAGGAGAATGGAAGGAGAGGGAGAAAGAGAAGAGGATGAGATAGAAAGAGTGGAAAGGGAGAATGGGAGGGAGAAAGGGAAGATGGGAGGGAGCGAAGGAGAAAATAGGAGGATAAGAGGAGAGGAAGAGGGGAGATGAAGAGGGAGGGAGAGAGAGGGTAAAAGGGTGAAGGAGAAAGAGAGAGGGAGAGACGGATGATTAAGTAGAAAAAGCGAGCAAGGAAAATTGAGCAAATGAAAGACAGATAGATGGACAGACAGACAGATACATCAAGAGATAGATAGATAGATTCTTATTCTTATTCCTCTGCTTTCCTCTCTGTTCTCAGGATAATATTGCCTTCCTTCATCTCCTCTCCTTCGTTATATGCTCCTTCCTTATTCCTCTCCTTCGTTTATTTCCTCTCCTTCTTTTTCCGCCCCTTTCCTTCCCCTAATCTCTTTCCCTTCTCCCTAATCCCAATCTCTCCCGCGTCATTCTCCTGTCTAGTCTCTCCTTATCCTTCCTAATCCACTCACTATCTCTCTCCCTCAGTTTCTCGTCACCTCTGCCTCCCTCTCTCTCTCTCTCTCTCTCTCTCTCTCTCTCTCTC